GTATAAGCCGCACCGGTCTATAAGCCGCATGGTTCAAAGTTCAGGAAAAAAGTCGCAGCTTATAGTCTGAAAAATACGGTACCATGAAGTATCATCTTTTCAATAAACTAGCTTTTATCATACTTTTAAACATATAATTTGTTCCATAAACGTATTTCTTGTATTGAAGGACATCTTTTCTTCAGTATAGTTCAAATTTAGTTTTTACAGCTTCTCATCTATGATGATGATGATGATGATGATGATYMTAACGATCACTTAGAGACACTTTTTCAGATATTCTCTGCTCTGTGTATCTGGCAGCGACTCCATATTCTACCTCTGTTTTTTTTCTATGTTTTCACACAAGCGGTCTGACTAGATTGATCTCTCATGCAGTCAGTTTCACCTACGAGGAAGAACAAGTCTGAACTGGTCACCAGGCTGATGGGAACAACYGTAGTGCTTTTTGAGGCCCATACGATCAGCTCTTAAGAGAAATCTAACAGATTATGTTCTTTTTACTTTGTTTTTTAAGCAGCTTATGTTTTTTGGGTCAAAATGCCGCAATTATAAAGTACAACAAAGCCTTTCAGTCCAGATCAGAGAATCTTGTTTCAGAGGGATGAATTTAGCCGCTCTTCGTTACGATCCACTCGTCTGTGGCGRGTGCCTCTGTGAGGATGGACCCCAGTTATTAGCTGTTAAGTCAGGTGGGATTCTGACTGGACCAAATCAAATATACAGCATCATGTATGTGACCTATCATATCAAGATGAGGATTAAGTCAAATTTGGTCAAAATGTCCTAATTACATTTTCAAATTCCTGGCTTTAAAAGCTATATTTAGATACTTGGATCATTCTGATATAAGCAGATCCAAGAGATATGACTTAATTTGTCTTGTTGGTTACGATAATACATTACTGTTTGGTCTGAATCCTAATTTCATGTAAATTTAATGAGTAATTTTTGATGTGAATATAAAGAGGAAACCTTAAATACTATTTGTGTTTTACAATTTTCCATTGGAAAGAAACAAAAACATTTCTAGCTCAAAATCAGGTTTTTTGTTACTACTGCTCAAAAAATTCTTCAAATTTTTTTAGGATTATGTTTCAGACAATTATTTAAATGTCTTMTTTGTTGTTTTGATAAGGCATTAATTCATTATATTTTGCACACGTTTAAATCAAAACCCTATATGTATCTGCCTATTTCTCCACTTTCCACTTTTGGACTTAATCCTCGTTTTGATGTGATGGGTCACATATACTGATGCAACATTTTACAATAAGTTAAAATAAGAAGTAAAACTTTCTTTCAACTGGTATAAATTTCTTAAACYTGGAAGTGAAAAATGTTTTACTTGAAATATAAACAGTAACACATCAATTGGGCATTGGTACTTGTATCCTGGTATTGATACTGGTACTGGTATTTATACTGGAGCATTTTGTGTGATTACTTATAAAAATGCTGGTAACGAGACTCCACTAGTTGTCATGAATTTCAGTGCTGCATTACACTTAAACTCTWGTCAAATCTAATTTGTAATCCAATAATTTAATTATTACTGTATTTATTCATGTTTAATAAAAAAAAACATTAATCCCAAAAATAATTCATGAAGTTGAAGGGTCGTTTTTTTAAAACGAGTAAATTTCGAACATTTTCTTTCTAATGTACTACCACAATTAATATTTATACTTCATGGTATTTAATTGAAATATTGTGTTGTGGAGGATAAATCGTCACAATTTCTCTCTCTGTAGAATAGTTCCCTTATAGTGAAACAAATAAACAACTGTAGTTGTTTTTTCACACTGAAGGAGGAAAATCTTTGTATTTTGTTAACTGTGGAGATGAAAAGGAGATGTGGACGTTAGCTGCATGTTGGCGTTGCTCCTCAAAGCTGTCCATCTTGCTAATTTATTAACCGGCTCCTGCTTTTGGACTGGACTGTTTTCAGCGACATGCAGAAGCAGCGCAGCCACAAATACGCCCACAAAATAATCTGTTTCCCCAGCAGAGGGTGTACAAGAGGACTGAAAATCCTGAAGTCCGTATGAAATTAGGGGTGGGATTATACAGGAGGATTAGATTTTTTTAATGCTTTTCAAGCTATGATAATGGGGGGTCACATTAWACACACATACAGTGGTGGGCAGCATTAATCTATAAATTAGTTCCACTAGCTCTAAAACACTAACTCAAATATTTAGGTCCCCTAATTCTAAAGCACTAACTCAAAAATTTAGGTCCCCTAATTCTAAAGCACTAACTCAAATATTTAGGTCCCCTAATTCTAAAGCTCTAATGCACCGAAAGTTTTAGCAAAAGCTAATTCTAAAGCACTAAAATAATCCCACAGCCGTATTTGAGTTCATATATTGTCACCTAGTGGATAAGTGACACATATGAACAAAATGTATGACAGCTTTCACCCTTAACTGTTGATCAATAACAATGTAGGAGTGAGCTTAAAGTGAATTAAACTTTTCCCACATCTCTCATACACAAGGTTATGAGGAAACTTTTACCAAGGTATTTCTCATTACTTGTTAATATCTTGACTGTGCGAAGTGAAAAGTGACACAATAAGTGAACGTTCAGACGAGTTCAAGTTGATTCACAAAAGACTATGCAATCATTTATTTACACAAATTGAACAGATCATAAGTTACACTTGATTGTGGTTATTCCTATAACAAGCATCAGAGTTAAATGAGATAAAACCCGCGTCCGAATTTCAATTCACATCAACTCAGATTACTTATATAGAACAGTAAAASGTCAGTTCTGATGTTAACAACCAACCAATTTTACTGGCACTTTTTGCTTAAGTTTTGGCAAATTAAGAACAAGGAAAGGAGGAAAGTTATCAAAGTGTGGGTCAACAGGAACTGCACGTCTTTTCTAAGCTCAGGTTCCACATGACACGTCACTCCGAACACATCAGCTTTTACCTGATGATGGCTTCTTAAGGCACCCTCGGGGTAGGAGCTGGCACGCCTCCGATCAGTCAGGGAACTGATGTCGGCTCGCTCACCGGTCATTGGCGAACAGGTGTTTTTCCAGGTCACTTTCGTCTGTTTCAGTCCAAGCCAGAAAAATTCAAYCCATATCCGGTTCCTCTTTCCAAAATAAAATCTCCCCTCGGGAGTTAAAAACACACTCAGAGGCTCAGCCTCGGGTTGAGACCACCGGCTGGCATGCCGGGTCCCTGGCTGTGAAGTCTCCCCTAGTTAGCTCATGGGATCAGACTTTAAGCCAAACTGAGGTTTCTCCGGAGAGAATCCCAGCTGTCTTCCTCAGTTGGAGTCAGGAAGAAGAGTGTGCCGCTCAAAGCCGTCCGGGTTAGTAAAAGAAACGGACGAACTTTGGTTCCGCCCTCGGGCTTAGAGATTAGTCAGAGAAAGAAAGATAAAGATTTACCAGCCGGCACCAGCCCAAGGTTAAAATTCTGTGGTTGTTCAACATGATATGATAACCTCTTTTCAGCTTTCTTCTGATAGACTAAGAGAAATCACTGCAAAACATTTATGATGATTAATTAACATTTCTGTTTTATAATCAGTTTTGAACCTTCTGTTAGTCCAGATAAATGAAAGATTTTCTCAAGAAAAACCCACAATTATATTACTGTGTTCACGGTAAAATAAAAACAGTGATTTACATAAAAACACAATGAAAACATTATCAGATTCTCTGTGATTTTTTTATACCATTATAAATCTTTAAGGCACGATAAAAGAAAAGAAGTGGTTCCACTTTTCCTGTGACAGTCATTATCATGATTTAACAAATGCATAAACATTCTTAGTTAAACAACAAATGAATCACGAACAGAAGAGATTGTTCTGTCCATTCTCTGATTAAGAGAACTGAGGGGTTCTCTTCCACGGTTAGAATGACCGGTCATGGCCTAAATAGAGTTCAGTTTGTGACAGAYTTCCTGTCCTCTCGTCAGGCTTGTCCGAGGCCTGCTTCAAGGCAGTAAATCTTGTTTCTTCCCTCGAGGTGACCCCTACAACAATTGTAGACCTCAGTTAGTGCTTCTAAATTTAGCCTATAAATTTAGCAAGTACTGATCCACTAATAAATTTTAAAATTAGCAAAAGCACTAATCAGGAAATGAGTTCCCCTCTTAGTGCTTTAGTGTTTTAGGGGAACTGAGCCCACCACTGCATACATAAAAATGGTAATTGTTCTTTTAACGTCAACTTAGTGCTTTGCCTCATCTCATTATATGTTTGTCCAAAAAAAACATTACGTTCTAGATAATATTTCTGCTTCTCCTCCTTGAAGCACTTCTCTAAGTGCAGCAGGACCTCCGTCAGCAAAACATTGAGCATCAAGGCTCCTATCTGCTTCAAGGAGAGGAACAGTAAAGTCTGTGGAAACTCCAGAGTGGAGGCCGGGGAGGAATGCGACCCCGGGTTGCTCCAGCTCAACAACGACGCCTGCTGCTCCGCAGACTGCAAGTTCAAAAGTGGCGCCAAGTGCAGGTAAGTGTCCCAGAAGTCAAGATAAAACATACTTGCTTATGGAAACCCCTCAGAGCGATGGAGTAACGTTTGTTCCCACAGTGACAGAAACAGCCCCTGCTGTAAGAACTGCCAGTATGAGAAGGCAACAAAGAAATGCCAGGAGCCCATTAGTGCCACCTGTAAAGGCCAGTCCTTCTGCACAGGTACACATCATCTCCAGCAGTCACAATGTTTCCTATGTAAAAAAAAGGTATAATCAGCATCTAATCCTTGTCCTCYCAGGAAACAGCAGTCAGTGTCCACCTCCGGAAAATGCTGCCGACGGAACAATTTGTGTTGACAACGGCCGCTGTAAGGGCGGAGAGTGTAACCCCTTCTGCGAGGCCATGCAGAACTTAAAGTCGTGCGCTTGCAATGGTAATGAGTCGTTACAAGAGGAAAGGAAAGTTTGCAGAGCTGTAATTAGAGTGAACAGTGTTGGTGATAGACAACCTGTTTTAAAGAGGTTTATCTAAAGTCAAAATCATAGCTGGAAAAGTAAAGTTAAAGCGGGGAGGGGTGGGGGTTATTATTCAAATTGACTTTTTACATCATGTTATGATGTCATTCCCTCATCAAAAACAGAATCAGAGTGATGCCTTGACTCATTCATACATGTTGAGGAATGATTGACTCTCCTGTGGTAGCCATGTGGAGCTGCCTAAACGTTTGCCGGTACAAAGRACRGCCCATTTCTACAAAGCTCCTCCCTGGAGCTCAGTCCCCAGCTATAACATRGTCTGATCTTTTCATCTTCCCTCTGTTGTTTTAACATAAATGTTATTTTTCCTGCAGAGACGAACGACTCCTGCAAGGTTTGCTGCAGGGGAAAAGACGGCACCTGCTCCCCCTTCATTCAGTCCAACGGCAGCTTCCTTTACCTTCGCAAAGGCAAACCCTGCACAGTGGGATTCTGTGACGGAAACGTGAGTCCGAACGTCTTTTTTTTTGTTTTTGTTTTTATATCCATCATCAGTGCGCAAAACATTCTTGAAGATTTATTTGAACTTTTCTTTGTTAAAAACAGGGTAAATGCATGAAGCAGGTACAGGATGTCATCGAGAGGTTGTGGGATTTTATCGACAAGCTGGACATTAACACATTCAGTGAGTCTGGAACGTGTGAAAGCTGAATAAATTCTACCCTGTAATACTAAGTTTTGGCTTATTTTTGTGTTTTATCCTCTCCACATCAGGGAAGTTCTTAGCTGACAACATTGTCGGCTCCGTCATGGTGTTTTCCCTCATCATCTGGGTTCCTCTCAGCATCCTGGTTCACTGTGTGGTGAGAGTTTAGTGCTTTTTAAAAGTTTGACATCCTCTGTATGTTTTAATAATTTCGCTCCAAGCGCTAACAGCGCTGCGTTTCTGGTGTTTTCCTCTGAAGGACAAACGTCTCGACCGGCAGTACGAAGAGAACGCCAAGTGCTTGTACTACCCTCAGAGTGTAAGTCCTTCAAAATGATCTGACTTCGTTTAAAGCGCACAAGCCTTGCTGCCACACTAACCAAACTAATTAAACCCAATGTTTGCTGTCTGGYGCGCTGAAAACAGAAGATGCARGAAGGATTATTGTTGTTGTGCTACYACTTAATAAATGTGGATTTGTCAGTGTTTACAACAAACCTGAAAATGAAGAAAAACAACAGATATTTGCCTTGCATTTAGATTTTTTAAATATTTTAATTTTGTCATTGTGTTTTCATCATTTTAAGGCTCTTAAAACATAATGATTGTGCTGTTTTCTTTATGAGAAAACATTTGACTCTGACTGAGTTTCAGGACAYCCTTTTGTTTCAGACACTAAAAGGGAAAATGAAATTTCTGAGTACTCCAGCAAGTAATGGATGAGAGAGTCTGTCTTTTAGGTTATGTTCAGAACATGGCTGCCATCTTGAAAGCCACCGCATTGGATTAAAGTCAATTTTTTCCATTGGGAAGGTGGTCATGTAGCATATCAAAGAAGACCAGAATTGTTGTGAACAGATGTGCGATATCTCCTGTGGTTCAGGAGTTAACACAGAAAGTTGCACTTTGCCTGTTGTTGGACCCGTTCAGTATGCTGAGTGTGTCTGTGCTCAGCACCATGGCAGCCATGTTCAAGACATGGCCTCAAGTATAAGGCCTCCTCGTCCTTTACCTGCTGGAGTATTCAGATATTAGATTTTCCTGTTGGTTTCTGTAATAAAAGGTGTCTTGAACATTTTTGACTCACTCTGGGTATTTAGACTCAAGTCTGAATTTGAACTTTAATTCAATACATTGAATATTATGAGTCATAAATTGTCATATTCTTTATTTCTGACCCTGATGAATCAAACCTAATCCCATTAGCTGAGCACTTAATGCGTAAAATGTTTCTTTGAAATAAAATCCTTACTTGACGTAAGATTGTTAAACTCCTGATTAATCTGGTTCTCAAGTATGGAGATGAATTAATCTTAAAAAGATCGGAGCGCAGATGTGTGGTTGTGACTTCTAAAACTTTCTTACAGTTACAGATTCTCAGATGTAATGCTGCYTTCAAGGCTGGTGAGAGGCTGGGACATCTGAGCTTTAGCACATTTACTGGATTATTGGGAAAAGACATTTCTGACTTATAGCTAATAAACACTATAAAAAAATGCTTATGTCGTCATGACTGGGTTCCAAAACCGTTACTCTAAAGCTGAAATAAACAATCTAAAATTGGTAGGTTGAAAAATTATTAGAACAGAATACATATTCATCAGTATCATCATATATAATATAATATAATCATATATATTGCAGAGAAAGTACATTTTCCTGGTAGTTTTTCTACAGAATCAATAATCTACCCATTTAGAGATATTTATTTTAGATGTAGTCCACAAAATAAACATCTTCTTGTGGAAAAACTACAAGAAATATATAATTTTGAGTATTAGCTTCAATTTACCAATAAGTATATTTTTCAGTAGCCTACAGTCCAAAATAAATAAATAAATAAAAATTACAGGAAATAATTTTTTTCTATTATTTGTTGGTAGTTTTTGCAGAGGAACACCTATAACCATGTTTCCAGTAGTTTTTGCTGAAGAATGATGTAATTTAACCTTAAAATAACCTTATAATCTGTATTTTTGTGTAGAGTGTACATTTGAAGCTAACTACTCCAAAGTAATTAGATTGTTCCTCTACAAAAACTACCAACAAATATATTTTCCTATATTTTTCCAATGGAAAAATACCAGTTTGAGTAGTTTATATGTACTAGTCCACAAAAAACTAATATTTTTAGAAGCCAGTATGTTAATATATATATGTGTGTGTGTGTGTGTGTGTGTGTGTGTGTGTGTGTGTGTGTGTGTGTGTTATTACAAGAGTTATAAACCTCTAAATCAGAAGCACTTTGCTTCCAATAATCCAGTAAATGTGGTAAAGTTCAGATGTCCCAGCTTTTCACCAGCCTTGAACGCAGCATTACTCGTGTGAATCTGCAGTGGTGAAAAAGTCTCAAAAGTCACATTCACGCTCGCTCAGATCTTTTCGAGACTAATTTATCTCCATACTAAAGTGTCCCACAGTGTAGAAACTTAATTCAGAGATTACTGCAGATCAGTCAAAGAAGCGGTTTAGTTTATTTTGCCGTACTTTCTCTGCCGGGGTTTCTGAATCATTTGTCGTCACTCTTTGTCCTGGAACTGCAGCAGATGGTGGAGGTTTGTAGTAGAGGTGAGTGTGTTTGTGCCACAGCCTGATGTTGAGACGTGTTTGAGAGCATGGTCAGTGCCTCCCCCTCACCCCCGCCCTGCTTTGGGATACTCCTGCAGTCACTTCCTCTTTGACGTAATCACTGATCGAACCGCTCCTCTTCATCAGACGGACTCCAGACGCTCCGCCTCGTCTGATCAGAAATTACCTCAAGGAAGCACGATTGCATTTTGGGAGTATTCAAAACAGCGAGAGGATTAAAGCTCTTTTTATTTATTTTATATTTATTTTTTTGTGAGATCAGGTGGAGTTTGTCTATTTTAAGTTTGCATCTGGTGTTAAAGTCACAAGAAGAAGAATGTTTGGCAGGCGGCTTTTTAAAATGTTGTTTTTTTAATTTAATTTTTTTATCCATCCATTAAAATCATCAAGTCCAGTTTTTGAGCCTGACTGGGAAAATGTTAAGACTGAGGGTACATTCCTCTGTGGACCTTTCCCTTTGCTGACATTTTGACTTGTCTGAACAGCACACATGTTAAACTTTAAGGCCTGCAGGCCAAGTCTGGCCCAGGTTAACATTTTATCTGGTCCTAAATGTAAAACTTTYAAAATGAAATAGATTTTTTTTWWTRWWAWTTWWMMTTTTATTAGTATTCCTCTTATGACAGCTGACTAACATAAAAAAAAGTTAGAAATTTCAGTAATCTTTCATTTTGGTGTGGAAAAAGTGACAGAATAGACATTATCGTTAATTGTTTTTCTTTTTTTTAAAGTCAAATAATTGGATTCTTAATTAGTTTTATTTTACCTGATTTGCTGGTTTGTGATCAAATGCATCTTTAAGATGTAATAAATTAAAATGTTAAGAGTGAAAGATATTAGAAATTAATYCAATAGATGAGTCTAAATTMAATGTTTTTCTTTATCCTTAATGTTCTAAATGCTACATAATATATAATTAGGAAAGTGTAATTTATATTTCTATAAGAATAATCAGTTATGTAAAAATTTTCAATAAATATTGACAGATATTTCGCTCTGCTTGGACCAAGTTTTGAGTTTTGGCTCTCTTGAGTCACAGAGTTTGACCCCCTGCTGTGTGAGATGAGCTCAGGTGCAAAATAACAAATTTACTGATTTAATTAAAAGCAGCTGTGATGATTTGTCACACCTGTGTTGTTTGACAACTCAAACTGTCCAAAGGCTAAAAGGTTTGCTTTACTCATTCCTGAAGTTTGGGTCAAGATGAAGAGAACATCTGGTGTTTAAACTTAAAGGTTTTTCTATTGAAATCCTGCTTTCTTGGTAATATTTAGCGTTCAGATGTGTTTGGGTCCGACATGAACAGGATGAAGTAAAGGAATGGATCCGTCCTCAGTCAGAGGCAGACGTTCTGATGGACTTGTCTCTCTTCTCACGTGTCCTTTTTTCCTCTCTGCAGAGTCAAGACAAGCTGAACAGCCTCGAGTCGACGCCCGTGCGCATCGTCAAGCTTCCTCTCTCCTCCTCCTGCGCCGGCCGGACCGCGCCCTCCCCCCAGTCTCCGCCGCAGCCGAGCCAGGCCCGGGCCCCGCCTCCCGCAGCCAGCAGTGCCCAYGACCCCGGCTCGAGCTACGCCGCCAGCCCGGACACCGCCGCAGCGCCGCGGATGGACACCATCCCGGAGGACACCAGCAGCGACTCTCATCCGGTCGAGGACGATTTCACAACCGCAGGAGCCTCCTCGTCGGCTACGAAATCCTCCTACGGGGATCTGACAGAACTGAACCCGTCGGCCAGGGACCGGCGGCGCCTCCAGAGGCAGGACCGCATTGACACTAAAGAGACGGAGTGCTGAGAGGAGACAGGTCCTGCTGGCCTAAATATGACTTTAAGTTTCACACCACAGACACTTCGTAGGTCAGATTTCAGTCACATCACTACTGTAAGTTCACGTCTTTGTGCCTTTTTTTTAAAGATTTTTTTAGCTGTAGGTCGATGAATTCACAAAAAGAGTAAGATGACTTTGATTATTTATTCAAACTCTTTGACTAAATGTGTTTCTGAGAAGTGCTTTTTAGGAGTAAAAGATTCTAAATACAATAATCTGTACATATACAAACTGCATCACTCTGCAGTAAAACAAAGTGTTGCTTCCTTTATACAGCTAAGTTACGTTTCAGTGGAACAATTAAGAGTTTGTCTCGAATCTCTTCTAAAAGCACTTTAAAAAAAACATCACTGGAGTTTTAGTTTTTGTACTTTAAGTGTTGAAACATGAGGATTTGATGTGTTTGTCATGGAAATATCAAGGACTAGTTTTCTTTTTTTTAAACTTGACTATGAAATTATAAGTTGTGTGAACTTGAGCACTCCGGAACACAATTGTGGAAAAGTTGGCGCCTCTTCCTGCACAAAACAAAACAAAAAGGTGCCTTTTGTGGTGTTTTTTGCTCGTTCCCGTGTGCAGACGCTGTCACGACGTTCTGAATTAGACTCAGATTATTTGTAGTGCCAACGTGAGCTCCACATTGTTTTTTGACGTTGTCTCACCACTGTTACCTGCTGCGCCTCAATAACACTGTAAAACATGTTTTCTTTTCTTGTAGGTTAAAGAAGCAGATAAGTGTTAACTTTTATACCAGACTAGATGTATATTATTCTAATAGTTGTAGTTTTTTAATGTTCTTCGCTTGCATTAATAACCAATAAAACATATCTTTATTGAACATTTAAACACGTTTCGTCTTTTTATTGTTCTTTACGGCCATGTTTTGTCCTCAGTGGTTGCAGAGGAGGCTGCTCTCCGGGCTTTGCGCGTCCACGTCTCCCCAGTACGGCAGGATGAAGGGCAGGTGAGCCAGACGAGCTTCTAGTAAACTCCACAGCTGCTCAGCCACCAACTGGTTCCCCCTCTCTGACAGGTGCAGCCCGTCGGACAGGTAAACCGTGCAGTCCTGCAGAACGGAGGGTTAAAATAAAAACGGGACGCTTGCATTGTGTAAAAACTGAGTCGTCCGCTCACTTGTCCGTCTTTCTGCATGAGCGTCCAGAGGTCCAGGACATCCGAGCCGCACTGACGGGCTACCTGGACACAAGCCTGAGCGTACTGACCCGTAACGGAGTTGTGCCGATTGAGAGGACATCCTGGAAGAAAGACGAGGAGGAGCTCCTGATGAGGAGCTGAGGAGGGATAACAGAGAATAAAACGTCAGGTTTACCTTTGAGAATACACTCTTTCTCCCAGGACGGCTCATGAAGAGGAGGAGGAGTGATGAAGATGACTTTGTCTGCTGACACGCCGGCCGAGGTCAGGAACCTGCTGATGTCCTTCAGGTTTTCTGAGTACTCCTGCAGAGGGACGTGCTGCTGCGGGTTCTTATCTGAAGAGGAAAGTTATTATTGGTGCCATTTTTCTTTTMCTAATCTGGAGCTTCTGACTTTACAAACCAAACCAAATGAAACTGAATCTGTTGTTCACACGAGGCCGTACCTTCCAGCGCCGAGTCGTTGGCTCCAAAGAACACCGTCACAGCAGAGATGTCTGACGGGTTCTGGCTGCTAACAAGGCGAGGAAGTACAATCTTGGCCCATCTGGTGTTGTAGCCTGACAGTCCTCTGTTCACAACGTCACACTTTCTGAAGAAGGAAAGCTCAGGTCCATCAAAGATGCAATATTCTGCAGTATTTCTTTTCCAGATGAATTACTAGAGCTTTGGCAATGTTTCTTTAATTAAATGATGGGMCAGATTTACAACTTCAAAAATAATGAAGCTCCAAATAAACAGCTAAATCATTGGAAAACTTGAATATTAAGAAAATAAGAGTTTTGTATAAATYACTTCTTTACAAAATATTAATCTAATAAAAGATGGAGTACACACACCAAACCCTTAAAATGAGCCATTTCAAATCGGTTTTTTTAAATGTAGAGAGCAAAATTATTTGCAGATAAGCTGTATACAGGTTAAATTAATTAGGACACTTCTTGGTTTAATATTCATATTGGGTGTTTTGAAAGAATTGATTTAATGAAATTATTTAACACAAAAAAATTCTAATGATTTATATTGTTCTTGCTAAACCACAGCTTCCAGAAAATAAAGTATAAAATCAAATAAAAATGCAACTGTTCACCTTGCAAGCTTGTTGGAGATATCTGCTCCCCATCCACTGGGTTGAAAAGAAAACTGAAAGAAYCATTTTATTGTTTAGAAGACCAAATATCTGCAGCTGAAGCAAAGTGAGAACATAGACAACATGTTATGTTACATAAACTGAGTTTAATGTAAAAAGAACCAACCTGAGTGATGGAGTCGCCAAATAAAATAACTTTGGGCCAAATTATTGTGTTGAACTTGGACATTACGAAGCCGAAAGTAGCTAAAATAACGCGAGATTCCAGTTTAATCAAAGCCTAAAACATCTCAGGAATACTTTGTTTTCGTATTCTTGGTTATCAAACCTCTAAACTGATGAAAGCGTTTCGGGAAAATATTTAAACAGCTGCAAAAATATCAAGAAACTCTACTTCCCCCTTTGGCTTGCTTTTATTTTGAAGGAAGCGGCTTGTGCAACGCTAAAAATCCTCCGTGCGAAATGCAGACCTGTGTTGGAGTTCCAGACGCATCTGAAAACAAGGCTAGCTAACGTTATTAACTATTGTAAACAAAAATATTTGTACGAGCTTCTGTTTACTAATGTTTTGGTAYATTTAACCACAAACTAAAAACTTTGATATATGGTAAGCTAACCACCGGCTAACGTTTACTCACTGCGCGTGGCGAAGTAAACTAAACTGCACGTGAATCACTTCTGTTTTACTCTGAAGGTATGCTTGTTTATATTACTGTTAATTACAAAAATGTAAAAGTATGATCTGAGCTTATAATAAACTAAATGTCAACTCAGTTGAAATAACTAGTTTAATAACTAGTTTTCTCATGTAAACAGGTGAAAAGTTCGTTGGGGTTCCATCATCAGTGTTTTGGAGACACCAACTCGTTTCAGTCCATCAGTTTATTTATTAGTTATGACTGGGTGATTAATGCTTGGAAACACACAAGACAAARGATGTTTTCCATTATTTGTGTGTTCAGAGGGATGTTGCGGCGACCAAAACCCACAGACTCTGAGGAGGACCTCCTGAAGGAGCAGGAGCGTTTCCTGACCTCTGGTTCTCCTGCTGCTGCCAGCGTGGTCCGCCGCCCTGACAAGAGGAGAGGAGAGGCTGGAGGTGGGCAGAATGGGAAGGATGAAGCGAACCAGAAGGATGTGGTCACCATAGAAGGTCAGCTTTTGAGACGTGTGTGTGTGTGTGTGTTCTGCTTGTTGTGGTTTAATTCATGCTGTGTTTGATGCAGATCTTCCAGACGAGATGCCCTCTCTGACTCCAGCTCCTCCTAAGAAGTCGCGCTTCAAGGCCAGCKGTGTGACGTTTGAGGACGAAGACGCTGAAGACAGGCTGGACAAACATGACTCTCACATCAGTGCCGTCCTCTCCAGGATCGTTGTGGGTCTTATTAAAACACACAGGATGTTGTCAGCGCACAGCGTGTTCTGTGTTATAATGCTGCGCTTACTTCTTATTTTGCTTTAAGGAGAGAGACACCAGCTGTGCTCCCATATCCCTGCCTGTGTTTACAGGCCTGGCTTTCCCCAAAGTGCAGCACCGCTCAGAAACCAGCAGTCAGGTAAATGCAACTAGTCCCAAACAAGTCCTGTTCCCTGTCAGCTCGTCACCGTGTCCCAAACAACTCTTCAGGTGAACGTCACTCAACTTTCTGTCATTTATGTCAGACTGCAGGTCAATCAGAGAGGAAGCTGGTGATTCATCTGGTGAAAATAAAAGAAACAATGGGCCTCATGCAAGAACCGTTCGTACGCACAGATTTGTTCTTAAATTCTGCGTACGAGTGATTTAGGAGAATTTGTGGCATTCACCAATGTTTTCGTATTCTAAGATTTTTTTCAAATACGAACAAAACTCACGAGTGGTCCAGACCTGTCGTAAATTTTACGAGCAGTCAGTCTGCTGTTATCCAGACGGGTTTTCTTCACTAATAACTTTATATATGGTATGGTGCGCAACGGTGTGGCTTCTGAACAAATGAAAATGATTTAACACAGTTGTTTTTACTTTTAGCAGCTCTTTTTATTCCACAGCTGACCTGCTAAAAATGACAGATTTTCTTTTCTGGATCTCTGACAGACGGACTTCAATCTCTGAACTCGTAAAGTTTTTCTTTTAATTTTCGCTGTCATTTTTCATGAATGAACACTTCCTTGTACCTGAGGTAGGAAACATAGCCTTATATGGTGTTTTTGGGGTGGTAATTATGCTAATCTCCTCTCGCGTGCACGAGCAGCTGGATAGAACAGGTGGAATTTACGCAGCTCATTTACACACTTTTCCTGAAGATAGAAGAGTTTGTTGAACCTGACGTGACATGTTCGTACGAACCCTTTGTACGAACAAAAGTAAGAGAAATTTAGGATAAGAATACGAACATGTTCTTGCATGAGGCCCATTGTGTGGAGGAGATGAGAAGCTCTTAATTAATTGGTCAGTCGAAATATAAAACTGCAGTTCTGCAGTTTGTAGATTCAGAGTTAAAATCAGTGTCACTTCAGCTGTAGATTCATACCTGTAAGAATAAAAACTGGGCARGTCTAACATTTAATAATTCAGTACAGAACATTAAAGGGGCAATATTATGTGTTTCTAAGGCGTTTATTTAAATTCTACACCATAATAAAGTAACTGTCACCTTCAGTTGTTATTAAAATGTTTATATGTTAATAGAAAATAAACTTGTCTTCTCATCATATCTGTTTCTAAACACCTTGAAATTGGCCTCTGTCTCTTTAAGAACCACCTTTCACTTCTGTCCCGCCCATTTCAGCACGGGGCGGGTGTGGCTGCTCAATCCGTACCAGAAGCGCTGTTTTTAGCATTTCGCTAGACTGATGACAGAATTCATGTGATTTCAGTCTTTCATCACCTGCAGTGTTTCATAGAAAAGGCAACGTTTGCAACAGCTGTGGATTTTTATTCCAGGAAAACAATAAAATGAAGATAAGATGAGTTATAATATGATTGTCTAGAAAACAGTCTACAATTAATTTTAAATAAATATGTACACATCGTAAATCTATATTTTATTAATCAAAATGTATAGAATATTAAAACTGTTTTCAGAATATAATTTAACATACTTTTAATTAAGTATAGAAATAATTATTTTCAGTATTTTTTTTTCCTAAATCGAGCACATTCCAGAGGTCTTTCGTTTAGCACATGCGCAAATGAGCTGACAGTATGGATCGTGCTTCCAGGACGAATCGGGCCGCCACAGGTGGGTGGGTGTGCTCTGTGATGAGGAAGCTCAGCTTGGAGACAGCCCAGAGGAGGAGCTGACCCCAAAAGGTGGTTCTAGTCCCAACCAGTCATTTTGCTCCCCTGCCTGGCTGCCTCAGGACAGCACAGGATTTCTTAAAGTCATGAATGAGTCAAAGCAAGTATCTGGGCATGTTTTTGATGAGAGGATAACATTATAACGTGATATAAAACTCAAAAAAGTTGATTGTACATGATATTTCCCATTTAAAAATTAGCTTTACTAACTGCCAGTCTGCCAACTAAAGAAATAGCTTCACAAACACTAAACAGGRAGGAAAACTAGCAGAAGATGATTGAAAAACACCAACTCATGATCTGTCATTTAAACATAGACGTGTGATATCCACAGAAACATCAAAATACTACCGTAGTTAAAAATGCAACAACATTTCTATGTCCACCAAGCAGCTGAATGTGCATGGAAATAAAATGCACAGATGTACGTTAACAGTTTGTTAGTGGACTTTAAGCTAGCAGAACTAAATTTACCAGAAGCTAAGAGGCTAGCTAACGCTTTCCAAAGTTAACCAAAGTGCTAAACCAGTAAACGAAAAGTTAGCTTAGCTGTTAGCAGAACTGTGTCCACCACTTTAAAATGTTTTAGACCCGTGTAAGTAAACAGTTCTGGATAAATGAAACCTTTTCTAACTGTGAAGAAAATCAGTTTTTATCAGACAAGACATGAAGGGAAGTACAAAACAAATCTAAACCTCTGTTTTTGTTTGTTGTTCCAGGGAGAATTTTGTGTAGATCAGTGAAATACATTTAATCCAAGATGTGTCTGAAACATTAAAACTGTATAAAATCACTTCACATCACAAACAGTCCTGCCTTGAACTAAACCTGATGTTATTTATTTTGATGTCAGTCTGTGAAAGATTTGTTTTGTTCTGACCTGCAGGCGCCATCGTCGTCGGTTAAAGGGAAGAAAAGCATCTTTGCTCAGCAGATTGCCGCTCAGAGACTGAAGGAGGGAAAGATGGTTTTACCTCGCTCCTSTGAAGCTCCTCAGAAACCTGAGACCAAACAGCCGAGCCCCTCAGCAGAACCCGGTACAGATCCTGAGCTGCTGATTTGTGAGAAATACAGGAGAAGAGAAAACCTCWGCTCACAAAATGTCTTCTCTTTTTGTTTTTTTGTTTCACTAAAACCACCTGTCCGCCTCAGGTCCCAGGTTGGTTTCAGGTGAGGGGCTTCAGGGTCCAGATAGCTCGGTGGAGACCATGAAGATCCACTTGGAGAACCAGAACAAGCTCCGAGCGATGTCCCAGGCTGAGATAGAGGAGGAGCGAAGGAAACTCGTGTCTCAGCTCGGTGAGCGGAGCTGTGGCTTCAAATCTCCTCACGTCTTCTGACATTTCTGCTCACGGCGTGTTTTCATCTTCTCAGATCCCAAACTGTTGGAGTTCATTAGAGCTCGCAAAGCTCAGGGCGCTCCCTCCTCTGGAGCTTCACGCCTGGCGGATGGAGGAGACCAGGAGGCTGCTCCTGTCGAAGCTGCAGACGGTGAAAGCTGCTCCAGCCTGATGCAGCAGGAGGTGGAGACGGAGGAGGAGGAGGAACCATCTCCTGCAGTGAGCCGTACGTTCCACTGAGAAACTCCTCAAAATGTGTTTCAGTCGTAAACAAACCTGCAGCAGGGTTTCAGCTCCTTTTTGACCCGTCGTGTGATTTCAGTGGAGGATCTTCCAGTGAAGCCTCAGAAGGACTGGGTCCACATGGACCAGCTGGAGCRGGAGAAGCTGCAGTGGATGAGAGACTTGCCTTCACCCCGAAAGAAAGGAACCAAGAAGGTGAGACGTGATTTAATCTAAACTCAAGTCTTTTTGATGAYTAAAATGTTAGGGGTTGAATTGAAAACCTTGATTTACTGATCAGCTCATTATTTGGTTTTGAAAGGCCATGCAGGCTCGATTTGACTTTGCAGGGACCTTAATTCCACCAGACGAGGACCTYCCGACCCATTTAGGTCTGCACCACCACGGAGAGGAGCCTGAGGTCTGTAGCTTTACACCAGAAAATACAACAAATATTTGATTTTTTTAAAGACTTTACCAAAGTTGCCAAGATTTTAGATTTAAAGTCGATAAAGTTTCACCATCAGTCCTTTAAGAAAATCTTCTTTTTAACATTTATTAGACTTGAGACCCAAATAAAAAGTTCTGGTTTCTGTTTGGTTCCTGCAGAGAGCAGGGTACTCCCTGCAGGAACTCTTCCTGCTGTCTCGGAGTCAACTCATCCAGCAGAGAAGTTTGGCTCTGAGCACACTAGCCAACATCCTCTCCAAGGTAACTCATGCACACACCCATAATCTGGTACAGCTATCTTTATGGGGACCTGGCACTAACGTCCATTATTTTCTGCAGCCTAACCCTGATCACAAACCCTAACCTCACCTGACCCTAAAACTAACCAAAACTCAATTCACAKACTAGACATGGGTTTTTACGATGTAAAAACAAGTGTGCATTGCCATGTAGCATGTCATTGCAGCATGGCTTTGCCTGCAGCATTGGACTTGCAGAATGAACTTTGACCAAGTTCAAATATGTTTTCTATACCAGCTTTTGTCTGTCACATCAGCAGGTGTTTGTAATTAAGGTAATTGAGTGACAATATGAAGTTGGAAGATATTTTTTGTTAAAGTTGAATTAGCTGGGTTTTGAACCCTGATCTCCCACATGAAGGTCCATGACATAGACCATTAGACCAGTGGAGCTGTGGGAAAATGTGGTGCCAGGGGTTGCTTTGTATGTGTGCAGAAAGAGGCCACATTGCCAATACAATTATTGACACAAAAATGCATAATATTACAACAATAGAGCAGTATTAAGACAATATTATAGTAAAACATCAAAATACAATCATATTAGTATTGTAAACACTGAACTATTGAGATTAAATATAAAAAAACTATGGTTCAGTACCAAGTTGAGTACAGCTGGGGGCAGTATTGGACCATTACAAGGCCCCATTGACTCCCATTATATGAATTTGGAATTAAGTTTAAACATTAATATTTCAAAAACTACAAGTTGTACAGGTACCAAAAGGCATAGCAATCATTTGGCACAGGAGCTTTACAGATATAAATTACAATGGCAGCTGTAGGACAAAGTATGCAGGAGGAGAAGCATGGCAAAGTTGAGATGACTTGGATGGGAAACAAATCACAATAGTGTGCATTGCATTGGCAATGCACACTGATTAGGTCATTTTGACCAAATTTGACTTAATCCTTATTTCGATATGATGGGTCACATATGTTCTTCAGCTATTCTGGGCTGAATTAGACTTTTATTTTTATATATTCCTGTGTCTGAAATGTTTTATACATGATACGTTGAGCAGCCCAGGACATTGATCCTGAAATGCAGCGTGTGCTTTAGTGAGGGTCCGGATAAGTGCTGCCCTGTGTGAGAATAAAGCTGATCTTCTGTCTAGACCCAGAATACAGAATACAGAATACACACACACACACACACACACACACACACACACAC